TAGTCAGAACAAACATGTTTTCTATAGATAGGGTTACACCTCTCCTGCGTGATTACAATGATTAAACAGTCATGACATATCTGCCAGATATGTCCTGTCCCCTGGTCACATTGACCCATGATAAGTATGCATTGCAACAGGCTTGTGACACTTCAAAGCCGACCAAAAGGAACTTTTCTCCAATGTGTGTGTGTGTGTGTGTGTGTGTGTTTTGGCTGATCTGTCCATCAAGTGTTTTTTTTAAAATAATTAGAGGTGTCTTTGATTTTCATAATGTATGTTATTGTATAAAGTGTATTTACTGCATGTTGTCTCTTTTGCTGATCTATGGTTAAGATATTATTGAATATTAATGAAGCTGCATAGACTTCTCCCGCAAACTTTGTAGGTATATTCATATAAATGTAAATTTAAGCTTATTTCTGAAAACTTTAAGATAAATAGAATAGGCCTAAAAAAAATACTGAAACCAAAAGAATTAGAAACTCATGACAAATTGCATCTATTTAAGAAATAGTTTTACTAGAAAAATAAAATGGGTTATATGGGTTTAAAAACACTAAATATCGTTGAGTTCTTGCAGATTAGGGACAAAAGTTTATTATGGATCTGCATCTATTTCTGAACTAAGAGCTGCAAGTTGAACTATTTTCTTCAGATCAAAAATATAAAGCACAACTTTGAAAAAGCTAGATATCTGAGGTCTGAGATAGCATAGTGGCCTGAGTGCTTACCTTGCCTGTTACCACCCAGGCTTGACCCCTGGTACCTGCTACAATGCTCCAAGCCCACCAAGAAGCAAACCATAAAACACGTAGATATATTTCAAAAGAAGGTGACCATGACTCATCAGAGTTTCATAATTTAAGGATCGTTTTGAAGCCTTTGAGCTATCAGAAGGACTATTTATTCTAATATCAATACCATTTGATAAAAGATTTAAAGATTAATTGTTGAACCTGAAAGATGACTCTGTTGTTTAAAACCCTTATCTGGCTAGTATAAAAAAGGCTTTCAAAACCCAATACCACCTCATGTACTAATGTAATCAAGATAATTTTGCTGTCTATTTGTGATCCCAGAGAGAAAGTGCTCAAAAAATTGCTTGATGGATTAAAAAGTGTCCAAGGCACTATATATATACAGAGGTAGGGCGTTTGCCTTGCACGCAGCCAACATGGCTGACCTGAGTTCGATTCCTCCACCCCTCTCGGAGAGCCCGGCAAGCTACCGAGAGTATCTCGCCCGCACAGCAGAGTCTGGCAAGCTCCCCGTGACGTATTCAATATGCCAGACACAGTAACAACAAAGTCTCCAATGGAGACGTTACTGGGCCCGCTCGAGCAAATCGATGATCAACAGGAGGGCCTTTACTTACTTTTACTTTATATATATATATATATATATATATATATATATATATATATATATATTAAGAGAATGCTGACTGTAGGATAACACCGTTTTGTCCTTCCTACATAACCTCAGGTAGTTTAGATTTATTGGGTTGCTCCCAGCACGGTGCTCCTATCCCTCTATGTTTATTTATAACTTTCTTTGTGCTCTGTTGACTTGTAAATATTGTTTTTCTCTTCTCTGGAAGTCCTTTGCATGGTCTATTCAGAGCAATCTCCTTTTTGTATGGACACAAGAAGACATGCTTTTGTAATGTGACTCTCAGTGATATTTCCCTCCTGGGCATCTGTTCTCTTACCTAAGCCTCAGCTGCCTTTACTTCCTAGTGCCCCCCAAAGCAGGGTCCCGATGAGGGACTTGATGGAACCAGGGCAAGTGGTAAGCTATGTGCTACCCTGGCATTGAGATGGGCCTGGCCAAAGCGCCATAATGCTTAACTATAAGTTAAGAGCTTGGGCATGGACAAATGCTGTCATGATCCAAAAAGTAATAACTAGATTTGGACCCTGATGGGGTTAGGAAAGATTAATCTGGCCTGAGTGCTGTGGCAAATCTAGTCTAGTCTGAGTCTGTGGCAAGATGTTCCCAGGAGAGCTGCCCTATAAGTCTCAATGTTATCTCTTACTGTGTCCATACAAAAATAGCTAGTATTGATAGTTATTGGACTAAGGAAAAGAGAAAAACACCTTAGGAGGTATTTAGCTCTTGGGCAGTCAGGAAGGGCTTTAGAATACCTTTTAAGTGGGCCCTCAGGAAGGGTTTTCTTATGTTGATTTTGCTACCTGACTGGGTGCCACTTCAGTCCAGAGTGATCGGAGTTGGAGGCAAGAGAGCTGGAGAGAGGAGAAAGCAGGGCCACGAGATGGACCGCAGAGAGGCTAGCAAGGGGAACAGAGAGAGAAGAATGTAGAAGAAGAATACAGGAGCAGGTACGTGAAGAAGAGAGAGCCCAAGCTGCGAGATGGAGCATGGAGAGATAAGCGGGAGAAACAGGAGGAGATGTGAATGAGGAGCAGCGTGAGACCAGAATGGGAGGCTCAGAGAGTTTGGGGCAGGCAGGTGGGGAGAATGGAATAAATGGCATCTGATCAATCAACTGGCATGGTCCTCATTTCACCCACCATCTCCCCCAGGGCCCCGGCCGCCATGGCTGCGGGAGCCCACCCCTAACCTGGGTGGCAAGGGGCAGAGCCATAGGGGGCCCCCCTGGCCATCCCCAAAGTTTTTTACAGCTGACTGCCTTAAAGACTTTGGTCTCTTGCAAGGAAAGATTTAAACTAAAAAAAAGAGAATCCTGGTCAAAAAAGGTCAACCTGATTCTTAATGAGTCTCTGAAATAATTCAAGATGCATTCTTTAAGAACAAAGATTTTATTTATTTGCATGAAAAAGCTCTTGACATTTTAACTTTTTGATGGCTATTTCCAAAAATATCATTTATCATATAAGTGGTGAGAGTTAACTCTTTTGGAATTTAGAAAAAGAACCCCAAATTAGTTTAATTCTCAGGGACTTTAACAGTCTCACCTTAGCCTTTAAAAACACTAATATCTCTTAATTCTTTGTTGTTGTTATCTATGTCCTCAAACTCAAGAAATTGTATTAAGAACAATGATAACACTTTAAAGATGACACATTATCCCTAACTAAATTTAAAATAAATGGCAAATTCCTTCTCAAAAAATAAATAAAAACACTAGTAGTCACACAATAGTTGCTTAGATAGGAGTCAATATTTTGTATCACCTTTGAAAAATATTAGTATGGCTTTTACAATCCCAACTTTTGAGGTACTTTAAATCTTGCTGATAACTCTCTTTCAATGTCTTTTCTGTTAAATGAAAGTAAAGTATGTCTATGGGGTACTTGCATTTATTCAAGTCTATCCCAATTTTAGCATATAAAAAATTATATACTGTGTAGTTAAGCCATTATTGTTAAATTGCAAACATGCTTAATTGCTAAAGGGTAGTTATATAATTTATAAATGTGTAACTAGCTTTTCAAGGGCATGTTTTTTAGATGACTAGGACATTTAGAATGTTTCTTTCAAGTTCCTTAATGGAATCTATTAATTTCTAGTATTTCTTTTATAAAATGTACTAAAATGTTAAAAGTAAAGACAAGAAATCTGCTTGTCTTTACCACTATAATATTCAACTCTTTTGGGTTCCTCTAATTACACCTTGATTTTTCTTAATGTATTTGTTAAATTAGGAAGCAAATGTTTTAAGATAAATAAGATTTTCACTAAATTATTGTTGTCGAATTATGTTGAAATTCATTTAAGGAAAATTAATAGTTGGCCTTGCTTCTTTTGTCTTCATTTTTATTCTTAAAATGGGTTCAATATTTACAGAATTAGATTCAGAAAAACATAATTGAGACTGTCTTTGTGGTAGGAATTATGGAAATAAATTACCCTTAGTTAATTTTACGATACAGGAAGCTCATTTCAGAAATGTAATTTCTCAGAACAAGTAATAGCAACTCAAACAATGAATTCATGTAGATGAACACTAGAATAAGTAGAAGCTGAGCATACAAGACATGCTTGCTGCTTTTCTCTACATTTCAGTTTTTTCTATATAAAAAAATGCTTCAGCAGTGAAAATTCCTATAGAAACCAATCTATAAGCATTGCCTTTCCCATTTTTAATTCTTTTTATACTAAGAAACCATGAAGATTAAATTTATCATAAAATATTGAGCATCCCCAAATCCACACACAACAGGGACAATTTTTGTTTGCTAGGAATACAAGGGAAAGAAGAAGAATGGAATTATGGAAATCTTTTACTGACAGATGGATTTGTGTTTGAAGTAAAATCTTCAGAATATTGGGATTAACCATAAAAAGCAGTGTCTTAAAATTGAAAAGGATTTTGTGTGAAAGTTGAACCTATTCCGAAATATGATTCTATCAGAGAATTTGAATCTGTGATCCCTCAAGAACTTCAGAGATCACCTAAACAAGTGTATTTACTCTGAGTATCAACAAATATTAATGTTACCTTTTAAAAATAAGAAACGGTAAATTTGCAATAATTTTGTTATTGTAAATTTCATTATAATAATTATTAGTTACCTTGGATAAACCCAAATATTTGAAATTTTGATATTTTAAGTGAAAGTTATTTTGTATTTACTGTGATTTCTCAGGTTTTGTTCTGGCTACCCAATTAGTATCTAACACATTCATTAAAGTGTATATATATATATATATATATATATATATCACATTTGATTATGGCCATTCCAATTTTTGTTTTTGAAAACTCAACCCAATGTTTTCACAACCCCTGACCCACCTGATAAAATCCAATAAAGGAAGTGAGAACACTGATGGATTCATTTATAATATTTCAAAGGATAGCTGTTTTGGGTCTCAGTTTAATGAATTGTTCTGACAATTTCTAAAAACAAACCAAAACCACCTGCCTTGAAAGCATTTGTTCATTCTTATATTACTCCTCCTTCTCCTCACTCCCTCTTTCTTGATCAATGTTTCTCATTCTCCCTTTCTCTCCCGATCAATAAGTAACTCCATATGTACTTATGTTACCATGGACTTTTCTATTCTAGGAGCAGCAGAAAAGAGTTCTAAGCATGGAGCTGAAGATAAGACTCAAACTATTATTATGGCTATGAAAGAAAGAATGAAGATCAGGGAGAAAAACAGGCCAGAGGTATTTGAAGTAATTCAGGAAATGTTTCATATTTCTAAAGAAGATTTTGTGAAATACAGTAAGGCAGCCAAACAGAGTGTACTGGATGGGACATCTAAGTGGTCAGCAAAAATTACTATAACAGGTATAATAAGCCTTTACCATTTTTCTTTTCATCTTGAAACTGTACAGGTCTTAGAATCATGTTAATAACCATCACTAGAGTATAGAACGTTTAATCTTGTCAAAATTGACAAGAAGTCCAATTGCTGCTTTTAAATTTTAAATATGAATTAGATCAGTGAGTTCTAAACTGATGGTTCATGGAACTGTGCTATGGGACTCTTAGTTTGTGAGAGAAGTGATTGATGAATAATGTGATCAGGCTGGGTTTCTAAAAGGGCTCATGATGCATCTATTCTTCAGTGTGATTCAGACATGGTTTTGCAAGTACCTATTATATCAGCTTTCCTATCCATAAGTCTTAGTCATATCCTGTGTGCTGTCCTCAAACATCCTTATATTCACCACATTCATGTAAATCGTTTGCTAATACTGTGTAGTGGTATTTCAGAAAGTAAGTTATAGAGGAAGAGATGGGTGCAAACAGGGCTTTCCCCCAGGATGCCAAAGTGACAGGAAGGATGGAAGGGTCCCTATGATTCTTGGGATAATAGTTCAACATCAATGTGAGGGTGCTGTTTGGGACTGCAGTGCCAGAAGTTACTCCGGCCAACACTCCGACAGTGAAGCATGGGGCACTGTGTTGTGCCAAGGATGAATAGGGCTTGGTGGCGTGCAAGAGATTTGCTTTAACCCCTGGGCTGTCTTTCTGGGCCTAGCCAATTATTTCCTATGTCAACATGCATCAAAAGAACAGAGCAAAGAAGCAGCCGCAGAGTCAAACCATATTTGAGTTAAGTATTACTTTACTTAACTTTACTTGTCATACTTCAAGACATTCTGTTGAGATTTTTGTTAGTTGCACAGTTCCTGGTTATTTAACATTTAACTAATGAATTTTATTTTTTTTTGCTTTTTGGGTCATACATGGCGATGCTCAGGGGATATTCCTGGCTCTGCACTCAGGAATTACTCCTGGTGGTGCTTGGGGGACCATATAAGATGCTGGGGATCGAACCCAGGTCTGCGTCGTGCAAGGCAAAGGCCCTACCCGCTGTGCTATAGCTCCGGCCCCATGAATTTTTATTTTGTAATATTACATTTAAAATTATGCAAAATACTATTGTAAACATATATACTTTTAAATTTCTGCCCTCTTGATTAGCCCAAAACATTTCCTCTTTTTATTAGTTTGTAGGTGTAGAAAGACTGAAAGCCGCCTTAATAGATAATTGGGGTAATTCCAGTCTGTGCTTTTTTCTAATCAAAAGCTCTTCCAGAGGAAGAAGTTTCTGTTTTACAACAAATTCATCAGTACCTTGAAGTTTACAAGACTTAAGTTCTGTTATTGCTGCCACTACTGATAAATTACAAAAGTGAAAATAATCTCTCCTGCTATCTTTTCTTAACGAGAAAACAAATGCTGGCATACTTTCTCTTGGATCAATAGCCTTCTTCCATTTGATCTTTGAGACTAAGCAATTTGCGTTTAGTGATCTCTAGTTAATTTGAACTCCTGATATTGCTTATAACATTAACACGAAGTGTGTGCATATTATGTTAAAATTTACCAAACCTCTTAACTTAGGCATAATGAGTTTATAAAGTTAAAATAAGGAACCTCCTCTTACTAAGTCAATCATTATTAACAGTCTACAAATATGTTAATTTGAAGTAACAGATTTTTACATTACTTTGGGAAGCTTTTATCATTTCAATATGAAGTCGCTTTTTCAGTATCTGTGTGAGTATATAACTATAAATATATGCATGTGTATGTGTTCAGTCACTGTTCTTAAGAGGTAAAGGAAAATATCAGAGCAAGGTTTTAATGATTAGTGTATTTATTTACTGTTTTCCAACTTTTGTTGCTCTTAAAAATGAAAGCAATGGGGGATCCATTAACAAAATGGACAGAGATGCAAAATGCTTTATTAATTTATTATTTATGATGAAATCGCTATTTTATATTTTTATAAAAAAAGACAACACTTATATTTTGGTTTATTTCAGTGGTCTCTGCCCAAGGCTTACAGGCAAAAGACAAAACAGGATCAAGTGATCCATATGTCACAGTTCAAGTTGGAAAGAACAAAAGAAGGACCAAAACTATTTTTGGAAATTTGAATCCAGTATGGGATGAGAAATTTTACTTGTGAGTATGTAGTATGAAATTCTTACAATATAAACATACTAGAAAACTTTGTTTTTGCTTTTATGTTGGGTGTGGGTTTGTTGTTGTTTATTTATTTGTGTTTTTCAGGATACATTTCCCAGGTGACTGTAGCATTTTCTACTTCTACCACCAAGGTACTAGAGTATCTGGTTAAATATTTCCTTCTGAAACTTATTAAACCAGTCAGTAGGATACACTTAAATTTTATTCAATCTAGTTTGTGTGTAGTGGTTATTTTCTAGTGACTTGATTTTATAATGATCTAATGATTAGTGATTACAATAAATTTTTGATGTATTGGTATATCTGTACCTTAGTGAAAAGTTTAAATAAAATCCAATTTTTAGTAGCACTGTAGCACTGTCCTCCTGTTGTTCATAAATTTGCTCAAGCGTGCACCAGAAATTGTCTCCATTGTGAGACTGTTGTTACTATTTTTGGCATATTGAATACATTATGGGTAGCTTGCTAGGCTTTGCTGTGCAGGCGAAATATATTTATGATGGACTTTGAAGTAATTCTGTAATGCAAGCATAAGTCATCAAAGGTCATTGTTTGATTTACGCTCTCCATTTCTTCTTGTACTATGTCCCCCCTTAATTTAAACACGATGTTTTACGAAGTTATCATGATGCATTTGTAGTAGACATTCAATATTCCAAAACAACCCTACCACTAGTGACCTTTCATCTACCATTGTGCCCATTTTCCTAATCACACCCAAGTCTGTGTCCTTAGCATGCATAAAACAATTTAATTTATATTTCTTGTCACAACTAAATGGCTGATAAAATTATCAAAAAATAATTTAGTAAAAGAAAATTTGTGAAAATTGTTATATTACTAAACTATTTTTTGCTAGTTGAGCATTCTGTGTTAATGTTTTCATTTACTGAGCTTAGTTGTCAAACATCTATGTTGTTGTGTGCTTACTGAGATGTCAGTATTGTAGAGTTTCACAAGGTGTCAGTCATGAATGCAGCCATGTGCTCCAGAAACTCCAGAATGTTTAAGTGAGCAATGAGTTTAGCATGGCAGCAGTTGTGTTGTGGGAAGTGGTGCAATTGCTCGGGCTTCTGGAAGTACAGGGTGGTAGGGGGAGAATTCTGTGTCTACTCGCAGAAGACCGTAGTGTTCTCAGCTTGAAGACCACTGTACCTGAAGTTGTTAGCAGTTTGTTGTCTCTACAGAGCTTAGTCCTAAAGGAACGGAGTCAGGTCCCTGTCATGGCAGCATCTGTGAGGATGTGAGTATGCCTGACAGTCGGCTTCAATTCATCCTACCCCAATAACCAAAGGTGTTCCAGAGTTTTCAGACAGGAGATGGTGTATCTGTGAATTTTTTGCAGCCAGTTGATATCTTCTGAGATTTAGTCATGAGTCTGTAAAGCTGGGGCTATCAATAAGCTTAACTGACTATAAATAAGGGATTGGATGTGACTGCTTGACTTCCCAAAGTATGTGGGGATTTGTAGTATTTTTAAAAGAACTTTATTTTCTCTCAAGTGTTGAATTTTCTATGCACTTATTTCTTAAATATGTATCTTTTTCCATTTTTCTATGTGTTCGTCTGAATGATAATGTTCATATTCTTGATTACTATCTCTTTATAATAAGCCTTAAAACTTTTCTATTATTTTTACTATTTTTAACTGTCAAATTTCATTTCCATTAAATTTATTGCCCAGTTTGAATTTTTTCATATAAAAATTAAAATGGACTCAATTTACTTTTGGGTAATACTATGATTGCTCATTTTTTTTGTTTTAATAACATTTCATTTTGGTATCATATTTTTTAAATCTAATAAAAGCGCTTGTTTTTTATTTACAGATAAACTACACCAATTCCTTCCTCCAGTCTTTCAAGACCTCTCCACCATTATTCCATAAATCTCCTCTCTGCTCTCTTTCCTCCTGGCATCCTTTGTCCCCACATCTATTAATCATGTTTCATAGTTTATTTTACTGAGGGACTTTTTAATCCCCTCATTTTTTTTCTTTACATCCGCCTTATCTGGTATCTTTCTTTCACTTTCTGACTCACTTCACTAAGCGTAGCACTGTAAAATCCCATCTGAGTTTCAGAAAACAGAAAAAAGAAATCATATTTTCTCATAGATGAATAGTATTTCATAGTGCATATATAGCACTGTAGCCCCATTGTTCATTGATTTGCTCGAGTGGACACCAGTAATATCTCCATTTGTCCCTGTCGCATGCTAGTGTAGCCCAATGGCATCTTCTTGCTCCAGGAACACGGAGTGAGAGTTGTAACTGTTTTTGGCATATCAAATACATCTCGGGGAGCTTGCCAGACTCTGCTGTGAGGGTGGTATACTCTTGGTAGCTTGCTGGGCTCTCCAAGAGGGACAGAGGAAAAGAACCTGGATTAGCCATGTGCAAAGCAAATGCTACTCGCTCCAAGCAACGCATATGTACTAAAATTTATTTATCTCTTATTAAACACTTGTGTTATTTCAGATATTGGCTACAATAAATAGTGCTTCAATGAGCATAAGTATACATATGTCTTAATGTTTTGTGATTTTGGAATGAATGCACAGAATCAAAACCACTAGTCCAGACTGAAGATTTTGTAATGTTTTAAAAGTTTTACAAACTACCCTGGTAGAGGAATGGGTGTTCAATCACTGGATGAATGAAACTCCAACCTGAAAGTTTTGTAACTGTAGCTCACAGTGATTCAATGAACTGCACTGTAGCACTGTCCTCCTGTTGTACATCGATTTGCTCGAGTGGGCACCAGTAACATCTCCATTGTGAGACTTGTTACAGTTTTCAGCAAGTGGAATACACCAAGCTCCCCATGGAGCTTGCCAGGCTCTGCTGTGTGGGTGAGATATTCTCAGTAGCTTGCTGGGCTTTCCAAGAGGGAATTGAACCCTGGTCAGCCACGTACAAGGCAAATGCCTTACCCACTGTGCTATCGCTTCATCCTGCTTTTGGTTAATTTTCATAATTAGAACATTGTAATTGGACAGGTTACTTGGTATGACTTCTATTTCTTAGATTTTACATAAGTTTGTTTCTGATCAACATGTGATCAATCCCAGAAAATGATCCATGTGCACTGAAAAAAGAATTTGTAGGCAGCTTTTTAAGAATAAAGAGCCATTTAAATGTCCATTAAGCCCAATTCTTCTGTCTCTCCTGGCTTAACTTCTGTGGCCTTTTTACTTTGGCTCAGATTCATTGCATAAAATCAGATAAAAATAATACCAGAAATCATGATGTGACATTGAATCATCCCTTTATTTATGAACTGTAGGTGATATTAGCTGTAGATATATATTAGATGATATTAGTTTTGTTAAGCCATCCTATTCCCTAACCACTGAGTACTTTATTCAGAAGCAAATATTGCATTTTGTCTTTTGCTTTACATCTTTGAGTTGATCATATGATTTTGAATGTTTTAAAAATATTGTCTTTATGATTATTTTCCTTTCCTTTTGGCAGGAATAAAATTTATTCTCATTTCTTGTGGTTTCTTATGGTCTCGTTTCACTATTCTATATCTCTTCTATATTCTCAATTCTTATGGTCTCATTTCATATGGTTTAAGGCCTGTAATTACTTTTAAGACTTTGTTTTTATTTTTCATTTGTACAAGCATAGCAGCTAGGGTGTTTTCTTTGCACGTGACTGACCTGGGTTAAATTCCTCCACCCCCTCAGAGAGCCGGCAAGCTACCAAGAGTATTCCGCCTGCACAGTAAAGCCTGGCAAGCTACCCGTGACATATTCGATATGCCAGAAACAGTAACAGAAAGTCTCACGATGGAGTCATTACTGGTGTCCTCTCGAGCATATCTATGAACAATAGGAGGACAGTGACAGTGACAGTGACAATTTGATTGTGGTGTCATGATGTATTTTTCTTTTGTTTCTGATGCATGGGGCTTATGGAGATACTTGCAACTGTGTACTTTTTCTTCAGATTTGGACAACATTGGCCATTATTTCCTTCGGTCCTCTTTATGCTCCTACTATTTGAACACTTCATCTATACATCTGTATTTTAAATGCCTTGGAATTATCCCACTGACAAAGAAGCCTTGGGTGGTGTAATTTTCCTCTGTCTCTTTTCTGCTTTGTGTTTTACTTCTAGTCATTTCTATTCTATGCCTTTTGGAAATTCACTAGCCCTTTTACCTGAATTGTGTCTATTCTGCGCAGTCCATTGTATTTTTTAAATCTCAAACATTTCAGCTTGGATTTCATGAAGTTGAAAGCGGTAACTTCTATGAGTTAACATTTTTTATGAGATTTTATTTTACCTTTTACAGCAAAGTTCAGAGAGGACATAGTGATTTCACATATAACATCTGTCACCACACCACACTTGCATATATGCCCAATTACCAATATTTCCCTGAGGCTTGATAAATTTATCCCAATCATTGAACTGATGTTGACCAATTATAACAATTGCAAAACTGTAGATTAGATTATTATTTATGCTTACTGTTTAATTTTGGGTCATATTAATAATATTATAGGTACTGATCCCTTCACTTGTATCACTTGTCATCCATTCATGGATTTGCTCAAGCAAGCACTAGTAACATCTCCATTCATCCCAGCCCTGAAATTTTTTTTAAATTTTTTAAAAATTTTTTTATTAGTGAAACACCATGAGGTACAGTTATAGGCTTACAAATTTTGTGCTTGGGTTTCAGTTATACAATGATCAAGTGCCCATCCCTCCACCAGTGCCCGTCATCCATCACCACGGGTCCCAGCATCCCCCTCCATCCCCCCCACAGTCCCATCCTGCCTCTGTGGCAGGGTATTCCCCCTTGATCTCTCTCTCTTCTTTTGGGTACTGTGTTTTGCAAGAGAGGCTTTACTCTCCTTACTAGTTCTTCCCAACATTGCCGTATTGGAGGCACTTTCAAGGATCAGGGAAATGAAGCCCATTATTGTTACTGTTTTTGGTATATCGAATAAGCCAC